TCAGCCTCCTGAGTAGCTGGGATTACAGGCACGTGCCACCATGCCCAGCTAATTTTTTGTATTTTTAGTAGAGATGGGGTTTCACCATGTTGACCAGGATGGTCTCGATCTCGACCTCGTGATCCACCCACCTCGGCCTCCCAAAGTGCTGGGATTACAGGCTTGAGCCACTGCGCCCAGCCAAAAAATACTATTTCTAACCTAGAATTCTATACCCAGCCAAACCAGTAATCAAATGTGAGGATAAAATGAATACATTTTCAGGCATGCAAGATCTTTTTTGTTTGTTTTTTGGGTTATTTGTTTGTTTTGTTTTGTTTTGTTTTGAGACTGAGTCTTGCTCTGTCACCTAGGCTGGAGTGCAATGACATGATTTCCGCTCACTGCAACCTGTGCCTCCCAGGTTCAGGTGATTCTCGTGCCTCAGACTCCCAAGTAGCTGGGATTACAGGCACATGCCACCATGCCCACCTAGGGATCTTTTTAAAATGTACCATTTCTCAGTAAACTATTAGAAGAAGTAATCTACCAAAACAAAGGCATAAACCAAAAAACAGAAAGATGTTGAACTACAGAGGATAAAAGCATTAATACAGCAGAGAGCTGAAAGGAATTTCTAGGATGCTAGTAAAAAGAGATACCAAAATGACAGCCACACCTCACCAAGTAGGACTCAAGAGACAAATGTGGCTGGCCACGGTGGCTTACGCCTATAATCCCAGCTTTGGGATCATTTGAGCTTAGGAGTTCAAGACCAGCCTTGGCAACATAGTGAGACCTTGTCTCTATTAAAAAAAAAAAAAAAAAAAAACTTTTTATTTTTTTTTGAGACTGAGTCTTGCTCTGTCACCCAGGCTGGAGTGCAGTACCACAATCTTGGCTCAGTGCAACCTCTGCCTCTCGGGTGCAAGCGATTCTCTTGCCACAGCCTCCAGAGTAGCTGGGATTACAGGTGCCCACCACCATGCCCAGCTAATTTTTGTATTTTTAGTAGAGATGGAGTTTCACCATGTTGGCCAGGCTGGTCTCAAACTCCTGACCTCAAGTGGTCCACCCACCTCAGCCTCCCAAAGTGCTAGGATTACAGGTGTGAGCCACCACACCTGGCCTAAAAAAAAAAAATTGTTTTAAGAAAAATCTAATGCAAGACACCCGAAATGAAAAAATATTTTAAAAAAAGAAAAACAAGAGACAAATGTTTTGAAGGCTGTTATCCCTAAGAGATAGATATGCCAAGTGCCACCTGCATTCCTGCTTTCACAGCATCACCCTTTTAACCTGGCAGTATTCAGGTACTAACAAAGTTCTTGTCTTCTCGTGGCCCTGCCCACTGATTCCCCAGAAGAAAGCTCTTATAAACTCTCAGGGAAGTTAAACCCAGAGCATGACCCATAGACTAGAATCTTCACAAACATTGGCAATTCTGCCCTTTCTTTACCTAGCTAGCTATATACCACCTACTCAATTTCTAAGTTGATCGCCTTTAACATTCATATATAAATAGCTATTGAACAATAATAACCCGGCTGATTGAAGAAAAAAAATAAGAGGATACCCATTCAAAGGTAATTAATATCTCACTGCAGACAGGTATAGGGGTCGCCTACAAACATGAGGGCTGGCATAGTAAGCACAGCTGGTTACCAGCAGTGTGAAGAAAGTGAGATGACTCTGATACATGGTGTTAGTCACTGTCTTCCCATTCAAGTTGCTGTGGCCCACAGAGGCCAGTGGACCAGGCACTGGGTGAATCAAGGAAAAATAGTAATAATGATAAGATGAGGATAATTATGACGATTTTTACTACTACAAGGTATTCAGTGCATTTTTTGCCACTGTGCTAAGAATAAACATGCTTTCATTTAACTCACATAGTAATCCTCCAAGATGAGTATTATCATTCGTATTTTACCAAAGTGTAGGGAGCGGGACTAACTCTCCTGAGATCAGACAGCTGGCAGGAAGCAGAGACCTGGTCCAGGCCTGGTTGGCCTGACTCCAGGAGCCCATGCTCTTAACTGCCACACTGACCAGGAAAGAAGAAATTGGACCTCAAAAAAATAATAAAAATAATAAAAGTAAACAGTCTGATGGATCTTAACCTAATCATTCATTGAAAAAAATTAGTCTTTTGCATCAGCAGCCATATAAGAACCTTCCCAGTGTTCTTCCACCTATGCAAAAGAAAAAAAGGATGGAAGTGCCTGACAGGGATGGGAAAGACGTGCAAGAAAACGGGAGAAAAAGAGATTGAAAGGAGAGGGATGGCAAAACTAAAATCAAGTAATAAACAAAACTGCATCCCCGAGGGTCTCCCAGATTCACCCCTGGGGTTCAGCCAGGCTGAGGACACAGCTATTTTTTTTTGTTTTGTTTTGAGATAAAGTCTCGCTCTGTCTCCCAAGCTGGAGTCAGTGGCGCAATCTTGGCTCACTGCAACCTCCGCCTCCCGGATTCAAGGGATTCTCCTGCCTCAGCCTCTCAAGTAGCTGGGACTACAGGCGCGCGCCACCACACCCGGCTAATTTTTGTATCTTTAGTAGAGGCGGGGTTTCACCATATTGGCCAGGCTGACCTCGTGATCCGCCTGCCTCGGCCTCCCAAAGTGCTGGGATCACAGGCATGAGCCACCACGCTCAGCCCAGACAGCGCTGTTTATAAGCCACACAGACCTGGGCTTCAAATCCTGACTCTGCTAATTATCGGCACAGGGAAGGAGAGGTACCAGGTCTGGGGACTCAACAAAGATGTGTTTGATGAAAGGAATGGCTGCAGACAAGTTACTTAAGCTCAGTTTCCCAATCTGTAAGGTAGTGGGTCCTAAAACCTGCCTGTAGGGCTGGCGCGGGCCATCTCAGGAACAGGTGGCCAGGGAGGGCTTGGCCAGAGGAATGATTATCATGTCTGTGACTCCCTTCCTTGGCCACCCACCCCCGCCCCTGCCCCTGAGCACACTGATCTGCACTGCCAACTTGCCTCTCTCCCCACCCTTGTCCCCACCACAACTGCGACATCCTCAAGGGCAAGAATTCTGTCTCTGCTATTTTGTCTCTTACATGCCTCCATAGCCATGCCCAGCCCCCATCAGCTGAGGGAATGGTCTGGTTCCTGGGGAAGGCGACATTGGCAGAGGACGCACCTGGTCACTGCGGGCGATTCCATAGCGCAGCTCGTTCACAAAGTGCTCGCAGTTCTCACTGGTCAGCTTGTAGAGCACCTCCTGCCCCACCAGCTCCTCCGCCCGCTGGATGATTTTGCTGCAGGGCAGTGGCGAGTACTTGTCATCATGTTTGTTGTTGACCTGGTACTTGTCACTCCCGGCCACATCATACAGCAGTTCCTTCTTCACGATGGCCTTGTCAGTCAGGGCAGACATGACGCTGGCTGCACCAGCTCCTGCGACCTCACCTGTGGATCCACAAAGAGAAAACAGAAGGATTGGTCCTGGGAAAGGCCACCAAGGCTCAGAGCTGGCCCCAGCCGGGCATCTGACCTTGCACCATCCACAAAGGATAAGCAACATGTGGAAGGGTCAGATGCGTGGCTGTGGGCCTTTGGGGAAGGTGCATGTGGTCTCTGGGCCCTAGTTTCCTTATCTAAAATGAAAGAGGGTGAAGTTCCATGATTTATTTTGATTTTTTTCTTACTCTAGAGAAGCTGGTCTTCTGTACCTCATGACACTGAAGTGGCCCCCTTGGTTATGCAAATACAAGCCAAGAGCATCCTCATCTACCTGGGAAGAGAAGATGGGAGCCTTTTTTCTTTTTTTTTTTTTTTTTGAGAGGGAGTCTCACTCCAGCCCAGGCTGGAGTGCAGTGGCACAATCTCGGCTCATGGCAGCCTCTGCCTTCCTAGTTCAAGCAATTCTCCTGCCTCAGCCTTCCAAGTAGCTGAGACTACAGGTGCTCACCGCCATGCCCAGCTAGTTTTTTGTTGTTGTTGTTGTTGTTGTTGTTGTTGTTGTTGTATTTTTAGTAGACACAGGGCTTCACCATGTTGGCAAGGAATATCTCGATCTCTTGACCTCGTGATCCACCTGCCTCGGCCTCCCAAAGTGCTGGGATTACAGGCTTGAGCCACAGCGCCTGGCCTATGGGAATCTTTTGTGATGGCATCTGGGCTATACCTACTTGACCACACAAAAACATGGCTGGGTTTTCGGGGGTCCCAGCCCTTCTGTAAACAGAGGGACCAAAACACACAGCTGTCCCCCTAGCTATGATGCTAAGGAGGCCCAGTGGGTACACCGACACAGCCCAGGCCAAGGCCCAGGGCAAGGAAGGGCCACAAATCTCCAGAAATGAAATGATCTTGAAGACAAAGAGGCTGGCTTCGACATGAAGAGCAGGATGGTGGACAGGGGAAGCTGATGCCAACACAGACTGGCCATTCCTCCCAACCCAAACAACCTGTACAGTGCCAGGAAAGGCATGTGCTGGGTATGATGATGGAAAAAGTGGGTATGAGCTGGGCACGGTGGCTCACGGATGTAATCCCAGCACTCTGGGAGGCCAAGGCAGGCAGATTACTTAAGCCCAGGAGTTTCAGACAAGCCTGGGCAACATGATAAAACTCCATCTCTACATAAAATACAAAAACTAGCCATGTGTGGTGGTGTGCAACTGTGATCCCAGCTACTTAGAAGGCTGAGGCAGGAGGATCACTTGAGCCCTGGAGGTTGAGGCTGCAGCGAGCCAAGATTGTGCCACTGCACTCCAACCTGGACAACAGAGTGAGATCTTGCCTTAGGGAAAAAAGAAGAAAAAGCAGGTATGCACTCAAGAGATGAACCTGAGCAGCCAGGGATATATCAAACAGCCACTGTGGCCCCGTCACGATCAAGGCCCCCAGGGAGCCACAGCAGCACCCTATTATACTAGGCAGGACCAGTCTTCAACAGTGGCATCCATGTGACAGCAACAAGCATCGATAAGAAAGGCTGATGAGATTCCAGGTCCTGCTCTGCTCGGCATTCCAAAGACCACTAAACCTTTTCCGCCTGAGTGCAATGCCAAGATATCAGAAACTCAGGGAATTCAGACTTGCTAGGAATAGGGCATGTGGTGCTTGGAGGAGTCACTGAAGGAAATCAAAGAGAGGGTGCCTTATCTGAGTGCTGACTCTGTGGGAAGGATGAGCTTCTGAGGCCCACCCAGCCTCAGCTCCCGGGCAAAGTAGGTGACAGCGCTGGGACTCACAGGAGGCAAGCAAGTTGCCTAGAGCCCAAAATTAAAGGAGGTACCAAATCTCAGGGCCACGCAAGTGCAGAGTCAACAACCAAGAGTGAGGACATCCTTAAACTTGTATCTAGATGCCACCCAGAACACGAGTACCCTGTGCTCAAGCTGGCAGTCAGAAGCTCTGGGTTCTGACCTCAGCACATCACTGACCAGCTGAGTGATCTGGAGCTGTCACTTTACTTTGCTCCAGAAATCCCCAAATATACACTAAAATTGATGCACAAATACATATCAATATAGTAATTTAAAGTTCCTTCTTTTTTTTTTATTTTGAGACAGAGTCTCGCTCTGTTGCCCAGGCTGGAGTGCAGTGGCATGATCTCGGCTCACTGCAGTCTCCTTCTCCTGGGTTCAAGCGATTCTTGTGCCTCAACCTCCTGAGTAGCTGGGACTACAGAGGCACATCAACACGTTCAACTAATTTTTGTATTTTTAGTAAAGATGGGGTTTCACCATGTTGGCCAGGCTGGTCTTGATCTCCTGAACTCAAGTGATCCACACACCTCGGCCTCCCAAAGTGCTGGGATTACAGGTATGAGCCATCACACCCAGCCTAAAGTTCCTTCTTTTAAAAAGTCTACTAAAGAAAATATGAAGTGAACAGTCGCAGAAAGGGCATGTGGATATGGCAATCGATCAGTGACTGGATTTGGGGACAGCATGGACTGGGCAGTGCAGCATTGTAGCTAAGGGCACAGAATCAAGCCAGACTGCCTGGGTTCGGGTCCTGCCTGCCCCCTTACCCATTATGCAACTTTGGGCATGCTTCTTAACTTCTCTGAGCCCCAGTTCCTTGTAGGATAGGGACAGAAACAGTCCCTTCTGCATGGGTAGCTGTGAGGATTAAAGGGGTTGGCCACAGAAGATGCTTTCACTGGTGTGTGGCACAGGGTGGGCACTTCAGCAAGCCCATAAGCTTCCTCCCAACTCTAATTTCTACAATGTTCTCAGTAGCAGGAGGTCAGTCCTCCTTGCCTCATCTATCCCACATGACTCCTGTGAAGCTCAAGTGAGATGCAGGTAGAAGCATCTTTTCCTGTGAAGAAGCATCACTGACCCAATGATCTGTGACACAACTGTCCCCTGTCCACATGGGTGCTTGTCATGCCTTCCCCCACCCTCTATCTACCACATACACCTGCTCAGTGCAGCCAATCAATATACTGAGGCCCTACTAGGTGCCAGGAATTGTGCGAGGTGCTGGAGTCAGTGACATCACCTGGACAGCAGGCCTGCCCTCAAGCAACTCCCACGCTACTGAGAAGACACGGACAGCGAACAAATACGCAAAATGAGATACTTGCAGGTACCCACAGACACTATGGAAAGACAGAGTGAAGTGACACGGCGAAGATTCCCAGGAGAGGCTGCCAGAGCCTTTCCTTACACCACCTGGGTCTGTCCTTTCCTTGGGAGGACACCCCAAGGAAAGGGTGTCTGAGCTGAGGCCTGAATGACGAAGCATCTAGAGCAGAAGGAACCGCAGGAACAAAGCCTGCAGGGAGAAGCAGCGTGGCACGCCAACATGGCTGCAGTCTGGACGCCCAGGAAAGGGGGAGGAGAAAGACGAGTCCCAAAGACACAGACCAGGCCGGGCCCTACAGGGCAAAGCACTGACTTTTTTGTTTTGTTTTGTTTCCGTTTGTTTTGGTTTTGTTTTTTTGGTTTTTTTTGAGACGGGTTTCACTCTGTCACCCAGGCTGGAATGCAGTGGCACAATCTCAGCTCACTGCAGCCTCTGCCGGTTGCTCAAGCCTCAGCCTCCGAGGAGACAGGACTACACTGGTGCATCACCATGCCCAACTAATTTTTGTATTTTTCATAGAGACAGGGTTTTGCCATGTTGGCCAGGCTGGTCTCCAACTCCTGATCTCAGGCAATCTACCCGCCTCAGCTTCCCAAAATACTGAATACTGGGATTACAGGTGTGAGCTACCACACCCGGCCTCGATTTACACTTTCTTTTTTTTTTTTAAGATGGACTTTCGCTCTTGTCACCTAGGCTGGAGTGCAGTGGCACAATCTCAGCTCACTGCAACCTCCACCTTCCGGGTTCAAGTGATTTTCCTGCCTCAGCCTCCCAAGTAGCTAGGATTACAGGTGCCCACCACCACGCCCAGATAAGTTTCTATATTTTTAATAGAGACCAGGTTTCACCATGTTGGCCAGGCTGGTCTCAAACTCCTGATCTCAGGTGATCTGCTCGCCTCAGCCTCCCAAAGTGCTGGGACTACAGGCATGAGCCACTGTGCCCGGCCCCATTTACACTTTCTAACAATCACACCAGCTGCCTATGAATGAGGAACTGGCCGTGAATGGCAAGAGGCAGAGAGACCAGACAGAAGTGGCAGTGCCGCCGGGCGAGGGAGGGCGGTCACTTACACCAGGGGCCCTGCAGTGGGGATGGTAAGAAGTGGACAGAGCTGGGTCTGTTTCAGAGATGAAGCCAACAGGATTCCCTGATGGATTAGACATGGGCTGTAAAGGATCAAGAACGACTCCTAGGCTTTAGGCCTGAGCCGCTGAATGGCGTCTTCCACTGGAGCCTCCCATTTGGGGCACAGCAAATTGAAGATGCCAGGTGGACACCCAAGAGCAGTTACCAAGTAGGAGGTTATGCAAGTCTGAAGCTGAGGGGGGATCTAAATTGAGGGTTTGAGTTAAGAGACATTGACAAATAGAAGGCATTGGAAGATAAGAAACCCAGTGAGGTCACCTGAGCTTGATGTAGGGACGTGGGAGAGGAGGAGGAACCCACACAAGAGACCAAGAAAAAAGGGCCCAGCGGGAGAGGAGGAAAGTCAGGTGCCAGGTGGACAGCAGGGAGGTCACTGGCGTCCAAGGCTGCAGAGAAGCCGAGTCAGCTGTGACAGGACTCGGCTTTGGCAAGATGTGGAAAAGCCTTTTCCTACCCTGAGACCTGCTCTGGCAGTGGGGGGAAAGAAAGAGAGTCTGAGAGCAAAACTCAGTCTCAAAAAAAAAGAAAAGAAAAAAATGGGTGTGAATAGAGGGGACAGAGGCAGAATGGGAAGTGAGGAGCCGACAAAGCTGTGATGTCATCTGTGCTGTGAGGCGTTAACCAGGGGAGGACGTGAGGCAGGGTGTTGGTCTGATCAACTGGAGATATTACAGCTGTCGCTATGTTGACAGGAATGACTCAGCTGGGAGGGAAAAAAATGACAATACAGAAGGAGGCGGGGAATTTGAGGAGCAAAGTGCTTATGAAAGGAAGAGGAGGGGGTTGGGGGCACACGGGTAAGAGGCTCAGCGTGGGGAAGATGACAGCTACTCCGGTGACTTCTGATAGGGTGTAGAGACAGAGACTCTGGTTACTTCAGATAGGTGAGGCCACTACTTAGAATTAAAGGGGTACACAAAAGACATGCTCAAGGACCAGGTGCCGTGTCTCAGGCCTGTAATCCCAGCACTTTGGGAGGCCAAGGAGGGTGGATCACTTAAGTTCAGGAGTTCGAGACCAGCTAGGCCAACATGGTGAAACCCCTGTCTCTACTAAAAATACAAAACTAAGCCAGGCGTGGTGATGCACACCTGTAATCCCAGCTACTCCAGAGGCTGAGGCAGAAGAATTGCTTAAACACAGGGGCGGAGGTTGCAGTGAGCCGAGACCGTGCCACTGTACTCCAGCCTGGGCGACAGAGCAAGACTTTGTCTCAGGGAAAAAAAAAAAAAAATGAATGTTCGTAGCAGGTCTATTCATAGCAGTCAAAACTTGCAATGAGCCTGGCACCAGAAAAATGGACGATAAATTGTAGCATATTCATATAACAGAAAATACACAGCAATGAAAAAGAACTCCCACTACTCACAGCAGCATGGATGACTCACAAAGGCATGATGTCTGCTAAAAGAAGCCAGACACAAAAGAGCACAGGCTGTGTGACTCCTCTTCTATGAAGTTCTAGAACGGACGGAACTCATCTATGGCAGGGAAAGCTAGAATGGTGGTTGCCTGGGGCGAGGGGTGGGGAGAGGACATTGTAGAGGCAAGAGAGAGCCTCTCAGGGTAAGTGGCACCATGGAAACGCTCTAGAAGTTCATCTGGGGCATTGTAACTTGGATGGGTTTTTTTTTTTTTTTTTTTTT